TAACTGTGCAGGAAGTCGGTATTATATGTATGCTGCCCTTCTGACTTCGCTTAGCCAGCACCAGGGAAATTCCCCCCCTGCTGCTGAAATGTGTTCTCAAAAAAATCCCTGTTAAGTCACAAACAAAAATTCCCCCCTTAGAATGTTTTTTCTGATAGTTTTTTTTAAACGATTTTAAAGTTTTGTTTGAATGTCACGCTAGGGCAAACCCTGCAACGAAATAGAAAAGCAAATGAAAAAATGATGAACTGATATGGAAAGTTTCACACGTGAACAGGGTGCCATGGAGATACGTGCTGCTGCCTCCTCACTTTTGGTTTTGTGGCTTCAGTTGTGACAGAGTACCTTGTGTGTGGAGTTTGCTTGGTCTTCCTAAAACTCATAGGTTTTCTCTCGGTGCTCCAGTTTTCTCCTGCAGTCCAGAGACATAAGTTGACTGACATCTCTAAATCATCTAAAACGTCCTGCCCGGGGTGTATCCTGCCTTCTTAGTTTGCCAGGCTAGGTTCTGGCTCACTGTGACCTTATATTGGACCAATCGATCATTTTCTTTTGTACTGCACCCTTTATAACACCTCGCCATAAAGCTTTTCACATATTTCACAGTCAAGAATGTGGTTATTGACATTGGATGGATGCTCTGATCTGAAGGTGTTTAAGGGGCTTATTTTCCACTGAAAATAGTTTTATACAGCACAGAGGTACTGTATAGTCATGCTTGCAACAAATGCATGTATATCTGTCCTCTGTTTTTGATTTCTTGCTCGATTATTCTGACCTTCTCTGCAGTTTTTTCCCCATTATCCTTGACCTCTGCATATTACCCATCAACAAAGTCTATCAATGATTGTAGGTCGTTTAACAGCCCGACCTTTCAGAGGTGTCGATGGGTAATTACCCCGTGCAACCCTAGAGTATGCAATATTTGACAGGGTTTAATAAAAATGTCATTGCTATCTAAATGGGGCATAGTACTTTATAGTGATTACTAGATCAGAACAGAAATACAGCACTTTCACAAGTGTACACTTGTGAAATATTTTTTTTTTAAGCTAAAATACAAGGATCTCACAAGTGCAGATGTTGTGGTCAGATCCTCCGATTCTGGCTTGCAGAGGTTGCTTGAGAGAGTGCAACGTCAACAACTTTGTTTGGTTTTGACTGGTGTATTAGTTCCCAAGGGGAGAGATTCTCGTTAGACAGGTTATGCACTAACTCTTTGCCCGTTGCAGACCACTTGAGAAGAGGAGTGAAATTTCAGTAGCTTGTATTGTTAGATGTAAACCAGGATGCCTCCCATAAAATAATTTCCACACGGCATCAAGTTCCGGCAATGTGATTGTTTTCTGATTCTGTGGGCTATTTTAATTTAAAAATAGATATTTCCCACAATTTTGTAGTATACCAGGGTAATGTAGTGATTCTCCTCCTCTTGCATGTAATTTGTCGGTCTTGAGGGGAGATCCTTATTTTAATTTATCCGATGTCCACAGCCACACTTTTCCTTCACATGAATTCTATCTAGAAACATGGACGGGATTGGTGGCATTGTGGTTGAGCACTGCTGCCTCGCATCTCGCAAGTTCTGGTTTTGATTCTCAACTGGGGTGTCTTTCGTGTGGAGTTTGCATGGGTGTCTTCACATCGTTCCTGTGTGCTTATGCACGTGCAAGAGACAGACGTCCTGTGCAGGGTTCAGTCTCGCATTTGTCCTGTGATTTCAGAATAGACTCTGGGTTGCCATTACGCTTATCAGGCATGTAGCTCAGTGGTAGAGTGCCCGCTTCGGATGTGTGAGGTCCCGGGTTCAATACCTGGCATCTCCACTCGGATTTCTGCAATTTCCCTCGCGGGATCAATAAAGTATCTATCATAAGCCGCTTTCTGATAATGAGCAGTTGGATGTACCAAACGAGTCTGGAAAGAGCATTTGCGTTGTCTCAGCTCACAGCCACAACTGGATACTCACAAGCGGAAAAAGGGGAGTTGCAGACAGACTCCTCCAGTCCTCACTAGAGCCCCCTGTCATCTTTTTGGTTGATCTGCAGTAACAGTAGGTTGTGTGAGAAGTGGAGACGCTTGGGCAGATAGGAAGTTGCGGGGGTCACCATGCAATCACCGTCACTTTGTGTGTCAGTGCCACTTGGTGGGGAAAAGGACGCTGGACACAGCAGTCAAGTGACCTGACCCAGACGTGGGCCTGAGATGCTCAGAGTTGGCGCCTTCACCAGTTTTAGCCTCTCAAGAATCGCAGAAATGTCTTTCAGATCTGAAATCCCTGCCACCTGACCCTGATAATATAAAAGGTTAGACTGTCTCTTTTTGAGATTGGTTGCTTACTGCTTCACTTCATCATTGTCTCTTACAATGCTGCACATATACAGGGTCTAAGAAAATAAAAAGAAATATGAATAAGCAAACAGAAATAAAATCTTCTCTTGAAGGCATTGTACATAAAATGATGTATTTAAACACAGCAGTGAGCAACCAGGCCTCCTTTTTTAAAATTCTGGGATACTTTGATGTCGAGAGGCAGGCTTGTCTTGGCATTTGCATGATAAAAGGCCTGCCTGATCTCTCAGTCTGTGCATGCACATTGCAGCTCTCCCTCTCTGAGAGCTGGAATACAAAAACACGAGGCCTGATCAGTGCTTGGCCCCACCACCGTCTTGTAACCTTAAGACACGACCAGTCCTGGCAGTAGCTTCCTTGCAAATTTGGTTTGTGATTATCCTTGGCTGTGCCTTAGTTGAGAAGCATGAAGGCCTTAATATCTTGATTCTTAATCCTACCTGCTTAGATCATATTAACAGAAGCTGATTTAATTTTCGGGGTTTCTGGATGGGAACCTTTGTTCTAAAGGCACCTTGTTCGTGGTGCCTTTGCCTTATATGTTGTTAGGCTTTCATATTATTGTTCCAATTTTCTGGCTCGCAAACTGATGTTGCATTGTTTCCAAAAAAAAATAACTTTAAGCTGTAGGTACCTTCTTGAGTGCTTTACTACATTAAGCTAATGCTCCGATCATCTACCTGGTGCTTGTCGCCCGATTTAGCTTGCTGTGGGATGCCTTATTTGTCTTATTCCTCTCAGCTGGAAAGTCTGTTCTTCAGAAATGTCACAGGGTAAGAGACTGAAGATCTCGGGGATTGTGGAGTCCGTGCTTGCTTGGAGGACAGTAGCCTGCTGTGTTAGTGTGTTCCCGTTAAGATGAGTGTTTTATTCATGCTTTACAATTGACCGACCTCAGTGCAGCTGAATTATATTTTACTCTGTAGGTATTGTCTCTCCCTGCGTGTTGTGATACAGCTTGTTCTGTGGGTCACCAGCAGTAACCATCCTGGCCACCTTCTGAATAACAATGCAGTGAGCTATTAGTTTTCCTCTGCCAGGTCATGTTTTATTCAATTTCCAGGTTTTGTTGGTCCAGGAAATAAAGATTCTGTCCAGCATCCCTCTCCAGTAGGCGATTCAGGCCTTTGAAAACGAGCCTGTAGACTAGAGTGTGAGGTTATTACACATCAGTCTTAGGTGTTGATGAAATTACATCTAAGAACAGATCAGCCATGTGAGTGACTAAGGTTTTTTTTCTTAGTTTGTCCCTTTAGTTCACAATCTATTTGAGTTTGGCTTCTGACATTTAAGTGATTTCAGTTTTGCTCATTTCGGTTGCACTTACAGTACAGTCATTGCAGGAGCACAGAACACTTGAGTGTGGGTTTGTCTTTCCTTTTAAGAGTTTCATTCTTGATGTTTTGGAAACGCTTTGCCATTTGTTGGCTTCATTCAGCATGCTATCCAAATCCAGACAGTGAATTATTTTAAATGTGGTTTAGTTAAAACCTTATGTGTTATTTAAAAGTGTAGTTTTAATGACATCGGTGATGTATCCTTTAACTGACTACCCTGAAGGTTTGAAATGCAATAAATGAAAATGTTTTTGTTTAACCTCTGTGGGTTTTTATTGGCCTGTGTAGGAGGGTAATGGAAATAATTATTAATAGATTCTTCTGTTTTTTGCGGTGGTAGGACTTCTCTTCGGGACACTCTGACACTGCTTGTGTTGGGGGGGAAGAGACCAGCTGTCCAGCTCTTTGAAGTAGATAAAGGAAATTTGATTTGTACTGACTTTCAATGGGTAAAACAGAATATAATTTTAAAAAGTTGAAGAGATTATAGAAAAGACATTGCGTATTTAGGGTGATGGTTGATCATAGTTTAGGATTTTCCTCTCTGGCTCTTTCACCAGTTCCACCCTCCTTCCAGTGCTGAGTGCATTTCATAAGGAAACGGTCTCACGTGAGAAAGTGTCTATTTGTGGTGTTACCAGGAAGTAGCCTAAACACATGGGGGGGATAATGCCTATTTTGTTGAGAAGCAGACATTCCCAGGAGCATTTCTACTGTATAAGAAAAAAAACCTATACAGCTCGATCACCTCTGTACTACCATCCACTGCTGCAGCACCTGGGCTGTCAGCATTTGTCCATGCAGTCATAGGCAAGACTTCAGCATGTCAAAGCCTGCATTGAAATGTTGCAGCTCCTACATTTTAAACGAGTACTTAGTTTTTGTGTGTGGATGAATTAAAGCCATATGTTTGGCTTTGGAAAGAGCCAGGAAGTTGGTGGCTGTTGAAGCCTGGCATTTAGCAGTTTCTGAAAGGCATGCAGCTGGGGATGCTCTATATTGGTAGGCATCCTTATTTAGCACGTTTTGAATAAATCAAGAAGATTTCATGCGGAGATGATTAAAGCCGTTTGTGTGAATCGGCACGAAAAGTATTTTTCAAGTCGCTACTGAAAAGCAAGCGCATGATAGCAGTAAGATGGGACTTTTCAGCATGACTGCGGTTTTGTCTGAAGAGTATCAAACTGGGAAGGATTGGAATTGAGTGCGGTATGGTTATGATCTGAGGAGGTGGCTGAGTGTGAAGAGGTGGCTGTTACTTTGTTTTCCTTCCCTAGGAATAATGATGCTTTTTTTCGAACCTCTCTGTAGGTTTTGGAGAACTTTTCAGATGCTCCCATGACTCCAAAACAGATTCTGCATGTCATTGAGACTAAAGGACTCAAAGAGATGAGGTCAGTTGTTCACTTTTGTTTTCCCTGACTAAATTAGGGTAAAAGTACGCTAAGCAGTATACGTGAAAAAAAGTCATTAAAATAACAATTTTCTTTTTTGGACATTTTCCTGAATTTAGCCACAAAAACATTTTGCTGTAGTTCCAGGGATTAAATAAGATGGCATATTTTTGATTGACCACAACTGTGCATGAAGACTGTTTGTTTTATGTGTAGTTAAACCACAATCCAATCTGAAAGTATTTATGTATGTGTTTTTAAATTATTTTTCTTTTTTTCCCCTCCCCATTCTTGTTGTTCTGCAACTCTTCCTGGAAATAGAAGGTAAGACATCCCTAACCATGTTAGTCGACTTCCTCCCTAAGTCTGTGTATTTGAATGTTGTTTCTCTCTCTTCTGGTTATGTATATTGTCAGTCACAGTGTTTATCCCACTCTTCTTAGTATGTCTCTTGTTTCTCTGAATGTTCCTTCATTTTAAAGTAGCAGCACAAATAAGTAATGATGAGGCATGAAACTCTGACTGAAATTTTAACCTTATAACAGCTACAGAAAAATCTAATTTTAGGGAGTAGTAATGATAAGGCTTACCAGTTCTGCTAGCACTTAGCAGTGATAAGTGGGGCTTCTCGATAGACTGTGGCCTGTGTTTTCCAGAAGTTAGTCAGACATTTACATCTGCTGCAGCTGCTTTAGTTCGAATGTCCTGGGAGTCATGATTCCACCGTGTCTACAAAGCCTGTGAGCTTGCACAGGGGAGTCGGAGGACGTGCAGGCACACTGCTCTGATCCGATCGCAGTCCCTTCCTCCCCAGCACTGTGAACTGGGGGCACCAGGGGGGTTTCTGTGCCCCTGAAAGAACCCTGGCTGGCTCTTCCCACTCTGGGAAAATTACACCCTTCCCTGCAGGGAACGCCAGTTCCGGTCTGCTAGGGTCTCCTGCCTCACCTGGGTTGTAGAGTTTGACCCAGCCCTTGGCCAACGGAGCTGCTCGGGAGCCGCTGAACGTGTGATGTCGTTGCTTGACAACCCCTCACTGACCGAATAATTTCACTGTCGTCAGGCGTGCCAGGGTGCAGCTGTGCTCCGTGGGTGTGCCACTTTGATGAGCACAAGAGCATGTGAAAAACAAAAGCTAGGAATGTTAGAATGTGTTTTGCAGTGAGAGATAACGGTGATGCTTTGTTCTCTTTATTGGTTGGAGTGCCGTGGCGGGAATGGGGTGCGTTGTTGTACCAGGGGGCCTTCCTGTTGAGTTTTGGGATTTCAGCTTTCGGCTGAATTGAGAACCAACTAGACGTCCGACAGAGCTGTTACGGTGCCAGTCTGTCGGCTGTTTGCCTCCATAAGGCGGAGACTGTGACACGCGCGTCGATAGCCTTGTAGCCTACGGTCCTGAAGCCTGTCCTTGTTGACGCCGTGTGGTTTCCTCCTCCGCAGTGGCACGTCCCCCCTGGCCTGTCTCAACACCATGCTCCATTCCCAGTGCCGTGGAGAGGACGGGATGTTTTTCAAGCTGCCCGGCCGCCTGAGTCTCTTCACTTTGAAGGTATCGGCAGGCCCGCTGTGTGCTTTGGGACCCGTCGTTTGCTACTTCCTGTTGTGCTGGCCATAACGGAGCTCATCCTTATCCTTTACATTTTTGTTATTGTTTCCACTGTGTAGCTGTAGCGTAAACCTGAGGAATTTTCTTCCTTAGCGCTTTCTGCTGAGATGGCGGCCACTGAAACGCCAAATAAGACTCAGGTGAAATGTTGGAGGGAGTTCGTGTGTCTCGGTAAATTAAACTCGTGGAAATTGTCACTGAACACCTTACATCCTCTTACAATTTTAGAAGAAGTGAGTTCATTAAGTGTATAATAACCGCTTACATGCAAGTTCATTGTAAAATATGCATAAATGCGTAAAATACATCCTTTTTTTTTACTAACTAGATAAAGTTCATGAAGGTCATTAATTCCTACGTTTGTTTCACAATGTCTTGCAATGCTGGTGGCCTGACTAGCCACTGTTAATCATGGCCAGTGTCTCTGTGTGCAGGTAAATTCTAATACAGCCATGAATTTTAAGTTTTTGTTTTCACCCCCAATAGCCCCTACCATTTTTTTCTGGCTGTTACAGAAGAAAATCTTGATGGAATGCTGAAGCTTTTAGCACAGTTGTTAGCTTTAATTAGAACATATATTATTAGGTTTCTCAGAACGACAGCGTGATTATCCGCGATGCATCATGAAAAAGGGTGACTGTAAAAGGGTTATTCCATCCTGGAATGGAAGAAAATGTTTTGAGTGTGACACTTTCTAAAAAACGGAATTTTTAAAGACATTGGTGCTTTTGTTTTACAAAGCCTTTATGTCCCAAATAATTGGCACTAACTGGAGCCATCAATTCAGAATGTGAAGCCAGAGCTTATGATAAATGAAAATGTCAAACATCATTCTGGGTCTGAAAAAATCTTCCAGTATGTAAAATGACCTATTTAAGATGCCTAAACATGTTTTGTTCTATTACTAACTGGTACTGAGCCTTCTTTGTTAAAATTGTGAATAAGAAGAGAATCTTGATGACCTAGTTAAGAGGGTGAATCCTGCTCATAGTGTGAAGGTTTTTTTGTTAGATTTTTCTGTTTATGATGGATATTTTTTAAAACAGCCACTATATATTATTCATGTTCTAATGGCAGGAGAAATGTAATTAGTGCAACAGCCCGATTTGGGGAAGTGCAGGTATCTCAGGTGTGTGTAGTTCTTCTATTGCTTTTTTCTAAAAAGCCAAAAATGTGATTTATAAACATTTCAAAATCACGTTCTAATGCATTTTCACGACATTGCCTTGCTTATAATGTAAGAGGTAGAAATGTGGAAGGCCTAAGCTCCAGTTTACCAGACCTGAAAAAGACGCTTCTTTTTGAATGCAGAAGGACGCTCTGCAGTGGTCCAAGAATCTGACCGTGCAAGAAGGAGAGGAGACGGAAGACCGGACTGAAGTGGAGAGCTGCGACTCCACCGAAACCACCACCACCGCCAGCGCGGAGAATGACGGTACACTGCGTCAAAGACCCTGCTCCTTAGTTCAGCCTTGTTAGCCCTGTCTAGATTTTACTTTTCTAGATGGAGTGGTACAGAGTTTTTTTTTTTTTTTACATTTGCTTAAGCATTTTCTTAGTCCCTCTTTGCTGGTCCTAGAGTTTCAAATGTAAATCTGATTTGTTCTCCAGATGTTGGTGTTTTATGGAAGTAGTGACGAAAAGGCTTTTGTGACACCAGTTTTTACCGAAGCAATAGGAAGTTGTCATCTTGTTATGTTTTTCTCCAGTGACAGAAAGGGAAGAAATGATTCTCTGGATGAGAAAAATCGTAAAACACTGTTCAATTCAGCATCTTGTTCCAATAATTTGTTTAGCACTGATTTTGTTTCATAATCTTGGTTTGCGTAATTCGCAGCCCTTCCGTTGTCAGTGTTGATGGGTTTTGAGACTGGAAACTCCAGCCCTCTACTGCAGGAAGTGCTGGTTGCCGTGGCAACCATATTTGTGTTGCTGCTTGCACTTTCTAAAATTCCTGCAGGCTTTTAGCGTCTAAAACCACAGCTAGCTGTGCGTTTCTAATGGGCATGTCGGAGAGATGCAGAGGAGGAATGCTCTTAGTGCTGCGGAGAGAAATACTGCTTCGTTTGATTTCTGCGAACGTGGCCTCGCATTAACACACTGGGCGTGACCTCAGAAAATGTGGACGTGTTGAAATGAGGGAAATGTGTCCGTACACAAATGCAGCTTGTCCACACCTTTCTTTCAGGAAGTTAAATGGGTGATGTATTTAATTTTTCTGCTAAAATGGTGGGGAAAAAAACTAGCCTTAAGTTTTCTAATCAATGTATTGATAAGTGCTTTCATTTTTTTGACATTGATTACGTAACCTTTTAGAAAATTGCAATAGTAGTATTTTGTAGTATTTTTTTTGTACTTTGAAAGGTGAGATTTGTGTAGATTTGTAGGTGTGAATGTTCCCAGGGGTGCGTAGATGTGTTTTGGCACTCAGTATGCCCTTCTCTTACCAGTTGGCTGTGATAATTAATTTGAGCTGGGGTTAATTTTATTCCCAAAATGATTTTCCAGATAATGAGACTTCATTATGTAACATGAATGCAACGTGCCGTATTGTTCTCCTGATAAGTGGCCCTTTTTTTCTGACCCGTTGCCGGGGATTTGTGAGAATTTAAAAGGCGGGGGTCTTTGAGATGTGTAGAGTGGTGGGAGTGATTTCTTCGTGCCCTTTGGCTCCTGCTGTGAGCTGTCCCGGGTGTGCTGTTCTCTGCCCATCAACCAGCCAGTCTCCTGGGGGGGGTGTTTTGGAAAGGATTTTCATGCTGGGTTGGGAGAGGTCAAAACTGCCGCGGTTTTAAAAGGTCAAAGTCTGCTTGATTTAAGCAATTCTGGTTAGTTTTTTATTTTTATTTTAATAGTCTCCCTAATGTCGTGAAATGCTGTCAGGATTCACAGAAATACAGGAAGCCTAAAGCTGTGCAGTGCAGGTTGGCTCACATAATCTGTAGGTTCCATCACAAATAAGTGGGATCTTGAGAGAGACTCGGGAAAGAGCAGTGGCTTATTTTGTATTTATCACTATTTCCCAACTTATTTTTACTTTTTCCCCCGAACAGAACTAAGAGTAGCTCGTTTTTATGTTTTAAAAGCATTTAAAAATAGCTTTGCACATAGTTGGGAAAGGGAGGAACACTGAAATACCCATGATGACACAGTTTAGGAAGGCTTGTGAGTCCACGGCGCGGGGGGGGCTTTTCAAGTTGTATGTGATTGGGGGGGTTTTGATGGCCTGTCTGTGCTTTTTACTGCAGTGTCTCTGGATGAGACCTCCTCCAGTGCCTCCTGCTCCACAGAGCCTCAGAACAAACTGAGCAGAGCCGCTCAGCATCCGCAGGTGAGTCACCCGGAGGTGGGGGCAGAGCCGCTGCCGCTGGAGTCTGCTGAGGGTCCTTTCACCCTTCCTCAATGAGCCGGCAAGGGGGCCTTCCTGCGCGGATTGGCAACGCGATAGCTGAGCTGGATGTTTTCTGGGGTGCGTCCCCTCAAAAGCAGTGGTCTGCCGCAGCCCAGTTTGTTTGCTAGAGTAAAAACCCGCTCGGGATATATCCCGAAGCGACGGGAGAAAACTCCCAGCGGCCCCCGCCAGCACTCGCTGCCATCGTCTCCCTGACGGCATGTATGCCGCCCAGCGTCGGGCTTCCTGATTGTAAAGTGCATGCTCTTCGTCTTTTAAACCCGTGAGGAATGTGTGCTCCCCACCCCTTCGCTTACACGCACATGTCTGTGAGAAACACTCCAGGATCGTGGCGGAGGAATTCCGTCCTGAGACAGTAAAGGCAATAAACCTCAAACCTCCCGACTCCTGAAGAGGGTTAATTTTCACGTGCCGTGACTTGTGGGCCAGTTAATGATTTGAAGACCTGTGGGCCTTTAGCCTCCTTTTTCTGAAGGCTTGCTTACATTCTTAAATTTCTAAATGAAGATGCTGCTGTTCCTCAGTAACCTTTCGCAGTAGGCAGGGTGGAAAAATGTTAATTCGAGATCCGTGGCGTTTGCCGCGGTGTGCCTTTTGTTCCTGGGTGTTGGCTAACCCTGTGAAAACGGCTTCCTTTTTCTCCCGCAGACAGGAAGACAGAGGAAGAAGGGAGTCCTGATGCCGCGTGTCGTGCTGACTCCCCTGAAAGTGAACGGCGAGCACGTCCCCTCAGGTGAAGTGTGTTCGTGTTTGTTTTTCCACCGGGCGAGTCGCCGAGGATGGCTTCCCAGACCATGGGGGCCGCGTCTCGCCCGTTGGCGGGGTGCCGCGTGTTTGGAAGTGGTCGGCGGGGGAGTACCGAACGAGGGTGGGCCTACGGCCGCCACTTCCCGTGTTTTGCGGCCTTAAGGGTGGCCTGAAGCATGTCTTCTGCTGGTTGGCGAAGAGAAATCTGAAAGCTGAAGAGAAAATAAGGGTGGTGTTCTCAGAGTGCCAACGAGTCAAGGTGGTCTTCAGTAACATAAGACGTATAATTCATTTTTATTACTTTATAGAGGCAAATTAACATCTTACATCTTAGTTCAAGTAGGGAGCTGCATCAGCATGCGTAGGCTGCAAAGGAAGAGCCGGGCCATTTCTTTTCTTTCCTTCTCTTTTCAGCGTAGAATAAACCTTTACTTGTTCTTTTCCATCTTATATCGTATTTTACATACAATGTTATTTTCTTAGTTTATATTAATTAATTATGGTTAATTGTGGCCTGCAAATAAGACCCCCTTCCCCCCCAATACCTGTTTGTTCCCTTCTGTGTGCACGTTGTGTTCTTGCAGGATTTGGTTACCAAGAATGTAACCCTCACGTAGGCAAGGTTTTGCTTTATTACTATTTTGCAAAGCATCACGCGCACGAAAGCCATGACCGAGCTTAAACGCCTTTAAAGGAACTTTGCTGTAATGGACTTTTCAAACCGGTTTTGGAATAACTGCAGCATGACCTTCCCCAGTCACTGCAAGTGAGTCTCTAAAGTGTTGACGGTCTATCCGTATCCATGCTCTCCAAGAGGATCCAAGATCCCCCCCTTTCCTTATTCAATTAAATTCAATTCAACTTTGTCATTAAACTTACACAGGTGCATAGTATAATGAAAAGTGTTTCTCATTAGTCACTCAGCTGCAGTATATAAATAGGACAGAAGATAAGACAATAGACAGTTACACAATAACAATAACAGTAACATGTAATAACATAACATAAATAACATGTAATCAAAACTGTGCAAAATTCCGCAGACAGAGAAAATATAACAGGACAAAAACAGTGCAAGGTAATTCTTGGAACAGTGCAAAAAATAGTATGGTTAAAGTAGTATGGTTAATTAATAAGTATGAAATATTGTTATGCCTGTTACAGTTTTACTGGGCTATCGAGGGGACAGTACAATTTCGGCTTACATGTGTGTGTGTGGTGGTGGAGGAGTACAGTGGTTGTGGGTACAGGAGGACGTTAGGAGAGATCATAATAAGGTGGAAGGGAGTGGGGGGCGTCACCAACTTGACAGCTCTGGGGAAGAAGCTATTTTGGAGTCTAGTTGTGTGCAACTGGAGTCTAGTTATGTCTCTCTGAACAGCCTTAACGTTGGTGCGGGAAGAATTAAAATGTCATATTTTCTTCTCTTGGTGGGAAGGCCTGCCTCTGCCTGCCAGCTGCTGGATTGTCTTACTTTGTCTAGACTTGCTTATCTCATCTGGAGTTCTTCTGGGCGACTTTGAGTTACCCAACACGTTCCTGCTCCGATTTGCCAAGCTTGGTTCGTTTTCAGGGTTTGAGTTGTTGTTTTTTTTTTCCTCTCCCCGTGTTCGCCTGTGGTGCAGGTTTCCCTGGAAAACGCAGGGAAGCGGAGTCGAGCAGCTCCTGCAGCAGTAACTCTCCCGTGGCCTGCAGCACCTCCCTGCACGGCAGGGCGGACCTGAGCCGGAAGCACGGCCAGCACTTCAAAGCCATGCGCAAGGCTCACCCAGGTAGGCGTGGGGCCGCTGCCACTGGGGGCGGCGTTTTCCCCGGGGCGGTGGGTTCTCTTCTAGCTGCGGACCTGCCTGGAATACAAAGGAGCTGGGTGCTGTAGCATTGTAGGAGGGCAGCTGTCTGGTGAAGTACAGCCAAGCGTAGTGGCCAGACAGCTTCCAGAGAGGGGCTGACAATAGGTTTAATGTTGTACACACAAGGGGGGTTTAATATTTAGTAATATTGAAAAATGTTATTACGCATTTGTGTGCATTGAAAAATTACTTACAGGTCTGGTGCTATTGACTCTATATAGTTTGAGATTTCATAATGCTGGTTATCTGGTGTGATCCTATCGGAGCACTCGAGACCAAGGAGGTATTGCCAAGCTGTTGTTTCTTTAGGATGGGGAATGTATTTAATTTTTTCTGATGGCTTTTAAATGCCGCAGGCTCCATGAAGAGGACCCGGGGGGTGGAGGTTGATTTCGAGACGCCGGGCTCTATTCTGGTCAACACGAATATCCGCGCGCTCATCAACACGCGGACCTTTGCTGCCTTCCCCCCGCACTGCCAGCAGCAGCTGCTCTTGCTGCTGCCCGAGGTGGACAGGCAGGTGGGTGTGAGCGTCGCCCCGGCGGGCCTTGGAAACAGCCTCGCCGGCAGGCCCAGCAGCCCTGCGCAGGCCGTCTCCGCCCTCGTGTCCTTCAGTTAGTTGTGTCATCGTTTCGTTTGTATCTCTGGTATGATTGGTTTTAGTTGAGGGTACTCGATTTAAAAAATTGCTTGGAAAGCGGGCTGGTTTCCCCCTTCTCAGTTGTTCTCTCCTCTTGGAAACGTCTGGTCCCGGAAAACCCCCATTAAATTCTAAAGACTTGCTATTTTTTTTTTTGCTTTGAATGAAGTCATTTAGACATCCTTCGGTGCTTGAAGGAATGCCCTAAAGGCTGAACGAACTGAAGCTTTTGGAGTGCAACAGAAGAGTGCGAACAGACCTGTTACAGTTATTCAGAGAGGCCAAAGACTTTGACAATGCCAACACAGCGGGTTTCTTCAGACTGAGCTCTGAAATGTGAACCAGGGGAGAGGAGTTTGCATAGAAACACAAGTGAGACGGGGAGGGGAAATTGAGGCTCAATTAAAATGCTCAAATGCAGATTAGTTTAGTGAGGTGATCACCTATGTATAGAGAGGTGGCTGGTAAGGAAGCCTTATAGAGGAAACAGGCACAGGACCAAAGGCAAAACAACATGTCTTGCATTACAGAGTTTGTAATTCGTACTGTGGATGTTGTACATGTGTTAACAAGCTTATGGACTTCAAGCAACAAAATAATCTCTTTACTTCTGATGTGGGCAGAATCTGTTTGGATTAAATCAATGCAGACAGTGTGAAAAGAGTTCTGTGTCTTTGCAGCACTTCCCTGCTGTTTTCATATCTCCACTCTTAAACACTCGGGCTTCAAAGGCTTTGAGGCTTAACTGTGCAGGTAGTGCTTTGGTCAGGGTTGCTTGGCCCTGGCATGCAAGGTACAATGCTGGTCTTATCCAGCAAGAAATGAATATGGGAAACCTTGCAGGCTGCAGTGACATTGATGGCTTTATGACCTCCCCTGCAGAGCTTGGTACACCTCATTGTTCCGCTCTGCAGCAGTTTCTAGTGACATCGATGCCTTTAAAACGATACTTTGTTTTTCCAGGTTGGGCCTGATGGGCTGGCACGCCTCAGTAGCTCTGCACTTAATAATGAATTCTTTGCACATGCTTCTCAATGCTGGAAGGAGAGACTTGGTGAAGGTGAGTGTTGGTAATGAACTGGAGGGAGCTCTCTAGTGGCTCAAACAGTAAAGGCACTGGTGTGGAGCGCGATTTGGACTTCACTGTCCAGACATCCGTGATTCGAATCTAAGATGTGTCTCAGTGGACTTGCAAACAAGAATATTTCAAGTGCATTGCAGATGCTGGGGTGGAAATAAATGCTATTGCACAGATTGCTTAGACTGGAAGTCATATCTAGGATGCACATTCCTGTAGCTCACCCTTTCTGCTTTGAAACTCAGAGAAATTGTGGTATTGTGCAGTACAATATACTTTGTCACTGAGTATTGTTGCAAATTTCTACAGTAATTGTGGCCATACAGGACATGGTCTTATGTGCTGCAACCAATTGTAGATTTAATAAATTCTGCTTATCTGATGGAGTCTAAGAAGCACGGGTTGCTGTCACTTACCTAATTTGCTAAAAAAGCAAATAGTGTTTTTACCGTTAAGTGATACATTTTAAGTGGATATCGGTGCTTGATAAAGCACAATATGGCTGAAATACAGAATTGCTGACGAGAGGAATACTGGTTCATACACTTGCCAGCTTTGCTTTAAATGTGATGATAAAGATCAGGGAAGATTTGTTCATGAGAAGAATACAATACTTTTAAGAAGAAGGTTTTGTAAAGTGTGCCACATCTCCAAATAATTTCAAGTCTTTGAAGTGGGGAAATGTAGCTAGGATGGGTTTGTTACCGAGATCAAAATGTACTGTTGCAGCTGTGTTTTTAATTTCCTAAACGTTTGGATCGGTAAAGCACACATCTATTTTTCATCCTTTTTTTGTATGTGCAGTTACATACAGCATGTGCAATCACTATGATGTGAAACAACTGTAAAATAGTGGTATGACAGTTTTTAAAACATTTTTAGTGTACATATGGCATCTGTGTGTACATTTTGAAATATACTATACAAATACATCTATAATATAGCTATACAATGCTTCTTTGATATTTAAATAAAATGATTTAGTGTAGATGGAAATAAAAGCTTTCCATCTTTGTGATTGGCTGAGCTGAGTGGACTTCAGTGAGACCGTGTCCTCACGATCTTGCCTGAAGTCTGAGCTGGGAGTGTCACGTTGCTGAGGGTTGCGTCTGTCCTCCCTCTGATGCCCAAGAGCTCCTGTTGGCAGTTTGGGCTCACAGTGGGAGTAAAGTTAACAGGCTGATGCGCACTTATTGGGAGGACAACTTTTGCTCACAACTTAGCAGGTTTTCTTGGTTTCTTGGTTCCAGGTGAATTCACTCATGAGATGCAGGCGCGATTCCGTCAGGAGATGGAGAAGGAGAAGAAGGTGGAGCCGTGGAAGGAGAAATTCTTTGAAGATTATTATGGTCAGAGGTGAGCACAGTCTATCCATCCAGTGAGAGCTAGAGTTAAATAGGAGCTCTGAGCAGTGCGAGTCAGACCCTTGCCTTTTCTCCATTTTCTGATCACATAATTAAAAGGAATTTATCGTGACCATAACATTAAAATATGAAATAATATTTATTATGTTGCATATAGGAAGAATTATATATTGTGGTGTTCTTTTTGCTAAATGTCCTCGGCGAATAAAAGGTGTGAATTAAGTCGCGTTCTTTCCTGAAAAGGTGTCCGCTTGATAAAGCCCTTCAAAGCATCCCTTCCTTCCCCATCCCAATGGATTTACTTCTTCTCCCCCCTGCTCGCCGTGCAGGTCCGGATTGACCAAGGAGGAGTCCCTGAGGCTCACGACGGGAGAGGAGAACTCGGAGAACCAGGCCGGCACGGCCCCCCCGGTCGCCCCCCCGAAGCGCCGCGCCACGGGCCGCAGGCGCAAGGACGGCCGGGTGAGGCGGCGCTCCAGGCCGGACCTGCGGCGGCGAGCCCGGCGGACTCTCTGCAAGCAGCCCAAGGCGCAGGAGGAGAAGGGGAAGCCTTTCCCGGCCGCGGCCTCCTCCGCCCCGGGCGTCGAAGCTTCCTCTCAGGTAGAGCTGCAAACGGACCCGAACGGCCCCCCCTCCGAAGCCCCGGCGGAGACGGACGCGCCTGTCCCTGCCGCGCCGCTCTCGGACGCGGAGCTCTCTCCGCGCCTGCCTCCTGACAGTGCCTCCTGCTCTCTCGAAGGGCAAGAAGCCAGCCCTGCTGTCACTGCTGATGCCCTGGACCACAGGGCCATCCTTGCTGCTGCTGCTTCTGCCCGCAGCCTGGACAGCGGCGCCGAGGTGAAGGACCAGAAGAGGAAGTCCGACGAGCCCGCGGCCTCCACCTCCTTCCCCGAGAAGAAGCCCCGCCTTGATCAGTCCTTTCGTAACACAATTGACTGTGTTCACTCAGAAAAACCACAGCCCACCAAAGAAGAGCCCAAAGTCCCTCCTATCCGGGTATGATGCCAAACAGTGACAGCTATGTACAACCAAAGTCTGGTCCTAACGTCCCACACCGGCCATTGTATTCTAGATACTCTAGATTACCCAGTTGATCTCGTGACATGGCTCAGGTGTTCTGTGTTAATTTCTTTTCTAAACCGCTCTTTAATAGACACATGAAACTTGACTTGGGATTCTCAAGAACGAAAACGTTCATAGTAATTTTTCGTTACCTCGAAAAGAACTGATAAAAATTGCAGGAAATACTGCTGTTAAAGCATTGTTTACTCGAATGAGATCATGCAAATTGAGAAAATATATAGTGCAGTATAGTGCACTTTCACGATTTGTTTTTAAGTTTAAAATGGATTTTGATTTTTTTTTTTAAATGGGGGGGGGAGTGGGTACACTTAAGAGCAAAGTTCAGTCCTTTCTAGCCTGTTGTGTTTTTAGAGTGAACCCGTTATTGTTGATAGACCTTCCAGTTTTTAACACATGTCTAAAAGGCTCACGGCGTCTGAACATGTCTCGTTTCCTTTCCCCCCACTTCAGATTCAACTCTCCAGGATCAAACCTCCCTGGGTGGTTAAAGGCCCACCAACCTACCAGATATGTCCCCGCATTATCCCTAACAGCGAGGCTCCCAGCCGGGGCCGGACTGGGGCCAGGACTCTGGCTGACATCAAAGCCCGTGCCCAGCAGGCCCGGGCCCAGCGAGAGGCCGCTGCTGCTGTTGCAGCCACTGGTGAAGGCGCAGGGCCCGGGGGAGGCCCAGGAGGAGGGGGTGGCAGAGAGCACCCGGAGCCTTTTGAGCCAGGAGGCGGCCAGGGAACACTTGCAGAGTCTTCGTCACAACATCACTCAGGAGCACAACTACTGCAGGCCCCCGCTGAGGTGACAGTGAACGAGCCCCCAGCAGTGGAGTGTTTAGAAACCTGCGAGATTGCTCAGTGGGGAACAATGCCCAGAAACGAAGTGGAGGCTCCAGTTCCCTCTCCGATTGGCAGTCCCACTTCTCCTCCAGGTGTCCTAGCGCACCTGCACGCAGAACCTGCTGAGATAACGCCCTCGGCCGCTGATGATCCGGGCTGCTGTGGAGCTGACCTCTGCAGAGAAGAGGCGATGGCAGCTTGTCATGGCGGTGAGCCAGAGGAGCCTGCAGACACTCAAAACCAGGTGGTGGACATGGAGACCGAGTCCGAGTCTTGCGTGGAAGAGCCACGTGATTCAGAGGAAGCCGAGTGCCGAGATAGTGAAGCTGGGAGTATTTCTGTGATGGAAAAGTGTGCCGAAATGACTGTGCTGGCACCCACATCTATACCAGACACACTTCCAAGGTTTGGAGCCCGAGGAATTGATGCCATAAGAACTTTAACTTCGTTTCACCCCTTAGAGGGTGGTCAGACCTCTAAAGAATTAAACGTAGATAAATGCAAGAACGGTGGCAAGAATGGTTTCAAAGTTGCTTCCCAAGAGCCATCTTTTCACACTAGTATTATGTCGGGAGCGATGGGTTTCAGTGATGCATCACGTCACACGAGTGGGGCATCCCATGTCGAACTGGAGAGGGCAGATGGCTCCCCTGAAACATCAGCTTGTGTTCCAGAGGACTCTGGTTTGCACAGCGACTCCACTGAAACTGCTTCTGACTTTGAAGATGAGTTGAGTGAGGATCAGAACACCTATGCTGAAGCAGACTTGGACAGTGGGCGCATGCCTGATTCACAGTATCAAGCTGTCCACTTGCGGCCAGCGAACGACCGGAAACTGATCGGCACGTTGCCCAGAGAGTCTCTGGCAAGACCCCGTGAACAGTCTCGCAATGCGAAGGAAAAGGCAGAAAATGGCCAGATGGGAACAGCCAGTAAAGCCCAGGTTGTTCATTTAACAGGTCAGAGAGGTGTCGAGGCCCCAAAAAGGACTCTCAGCTCTGGTCGACAAGTGTCCTCCGTGGAAGCGAACAACCCCCTTGTCACGCAGTTGCTTCAAGGCAGCCTTCCACTCGAAAAAGTGTTGCCACTGCCTCATTCCGTGAGCAAGCTAGAAATCAGTCGAGTGCCCTTACCTCCTCATGCGTCACGTGAAAGTTGCCCTCAAAAGATGGAGGCTCCCTGTTTTAGAGGCAGGCGTTTAGGTCACTCAGGAACTGGGGGCGTAGGCGAGAGCCACAAGGCTTGCGCGTCGTACAGTGACCCCTTGGTGCCCTCACACGTTACCTCAAATGGAAGTTCCCCTTTTGGGGGCCAGACCCTTTGCTCTCTCGGTCAGATGCCTGCTGCTGCGATTCCCAAATGGCAAGATGATGCACCAGCTGAGGAGGGGAGGTCCGCATGTTTGTTTGAGGAAACCGGCGAAGTAGCGGCATCTCGGGCTGCTCCACAGCCGTTCGTTTTGCTGGAGAATCCGGCCGTGGGGGGAGGCCTTCCTTTAAATCCACCAGCGTCCTCCAAGACCCATCCGGGCTCCGCCGCTAAACAAAGCGCCGCCCTTGAAACTGCTGAAAATAAGGAACGCTCTGGAGTTCAAGCCCAGAGAGCTACTTCTGAGGAATACAGCGCAGAAATGGCTCCGCAGCCGAATGCAGGCAAAGCCTATTGCAGCAATACGTCGGCCGAGGGAGCATCTCCTCCACAAAATGGCTTGTGTTCAGCGGACGTTGTGCCCACTGTTAAAATAAACTGGCTGCCAAAGCAATCCGTTGTTAAAGGCGAGAACCACCCTTCTTGTCAAACTCTTCCCAAAAATTCCACCAGGAGCACAAAAGAGGCGCCGAGTTCCGCGCAGCCCAAGGACCAGTTCCCAGCAGGGATGCTGAATATGGAAATGGCTCTGATTCGGTTGGCGAAGGAGCCCGGAAAGCCCTCCCCGTGCCCTCTGGAGGCTTCCTCCATCCCCTTCCAGCTGAGCATCCAGCAGCAGTTCTACGGGAAGCTGCCCAGGCTGCAGTACGGCCCCGGCTCGGGCTTCAGCTACACCGCCAACATGTCCGTCGTGGACACGGCGCTCACCGGCCTCTCCAAGAACATCGCCAACAGCGTGATGCAGCTGCGCCAGAGGAGCGGCTTCGCCGGGGGGGCGCACGCGGCGCTGAGCATCCAGGCCTTCGCGGAGAGCAGCATGGAGGAAGTGGCACTCAAGTGCTCCTGCCGGCTGAAAGCCATGATCATGTGTAAGGGCTGTGGCGCCTTCTGCCATGATGACTGTATAGGGCCTTCGAAGCTATGTGTATCCTGCCTTGTTGTTAGATAGTTAACAGTGGGCACTGGGGAACTGGGCCGGGTCGGGCAGGGGCTGTTATATTCCATGATGGTCTGTATTTTTACTGTGGCATATATTTTCTAATGCTGTTGTTAAGTGAATGCTGGGCACAGTTCCTTTTGTGTATTTTTTTTTTTTTGTTCAAACTTTACGGACCATAACCCTTTACCTCTCGTCTCCTTAGACATTATTACTCTGTACATTGGCAACTTGTGTCTCTCCAGCCTGATTGCACTTTGGAGAATAGAGATCTGTTCTTTGTGTCTTGTCAGTCTTTCAAAGAGATATTTTTTTAATAATTAAATGAATAAATTGCCTTTGTTTTCCAAGTACTTTCTTTTTATCTGTATTCAGCAGTTAAGCACAGTATTATAATAAACCTGGCATTGAGCTGATCTGTTGTTCTGTAAATCCAATACTTAAGATGTCAATGTGTGGTGGACTTCACTAGAGCTCTATTAAAGATCGTCTGCTACTTGCTGAGTAATCGTGAATGTTAAGTGTCTGATGTTGCAGAGATGTCTGTGGTGCTGTTGGGTTTGAGAGGGTCTGGTTTATTTGTAACCAGCACATGTTTTTAAGTGCAGCTGAAATGGAATGGAAATATTACCCAAGGTACTTCTCAAATAATACCCTGAGTTCTCAGCGTCGTGCACTGATCTTTCCATTTTAAATGGGATAGTAGTCCAGTAAGAGTTCTTATTGCATGCTGCGGGTACTTTAATGAATAAGATTTAGTAACTGTATCTCCTGATATTTTTTAAAACAATCTTAAGTCGGTGGACACATTAGCTCCAGTTGTGTTTAAGAGCCGGATACCACCTGCAGTGTTGAATCTGATGATCTGGAAGGTGCACAATTTCTAACCGGTAATTTGTCTTTTCTTCGCTAAGAAGAAATTCCCTCCTGCTGTTGACTAGTGCAGGACATGATAAAGGAAGTTACTTCCTCAGTCATGCTTGCGCATTGTTGTGTTTTTTTTTTGTTTGTTTTTTTAAGGAAGATCCTTTCTTTTTAACCACTGAGATGAAAAATGTAAGTTTTTAGTCTGGGTGACATTAATGTCAGTGGTATACAAAATTAACTTGCTCCTAATTTGAGCAGTTCTAAGAAGGATTGTTATTCTTGGTTTCAGTTATGTTTAGCGGTTTAAAGAAAAAAGGTGCATTGCTGGGTCATCTTATTCAGACGCTGGTGGAGCTGGGGATTTCATGGATGCTTAGGTCTGTAGTCACTTAACCCTTAAATCTGCTTCAGCTTGTAACGTATAGGACAATCATCCCTCCATCCATTTTTGAGGTTGCTTTATACAGTACAGGGTCACTGTGGCCTGGAGCCTGTCCCAGCACGCAGTGAGCGCAAGCAGGGCTTGCCCTTGATGGGAGGCCAGTCCATCACAGGACACAAACACTCACACCAGGGCCAGTTTTCCCAGGAGCCGTTTAACCCACCATCATGTCTTTGGCCTGTGGGAGGAAACCGGAGCGCCCAGCGAAAACCCACACAAGCTCGGGGAGAACAAAGACAAACTCCCCACAGACAGCCCCCCAGGAACCGAGCTCAGGGCCCCAGCGCTGTGAGGTAGCAGTGCTGACCATTGTGCCACTCTTGCAGGGTCATTAAACTGTTATATAGTGCCTATAAAACTATTTCCTCTCAAACTGCTTCATTTTGATGCCGAAAATGTCCTGAATCGTTTTTTTGGGCCGAGCTGCTTCGCGATCATCCCAGTTCCTGTCCTGGGAAGCAGATCTGTAAACTAATGGAGCTGCATTTGTATGCAGGGCAGAGAGGAATCTGCTTACCTGAGACCGATTAAGTAACCTTCTCTTCCCCAGTGAGGACCATTAGCATTTCAAACCCAGCAAAACCTCCTTCATTTGCATAAGCACCACACAACCTGCCTGAAACATCCCTCGCCTAAACTGGCCTAATTTTTTGGAGTGGCACTTTCAAGTTGGTGTGCGCTAAATAAGTCTCGACATGAGCACGGGCTGATGAGTTAAAAAAAAGCCTTTTCACTCCCATGAGAATCAAATGTTTATTACAAATGCTTTCCAAATGAAGGTATTGCCTTTATGGGCAGTTGGTTTAAATGTGTAATCAGAGTCTTCTAGACACCTGGTACAGAATGCATCTGTCTGACAGGAAAATGCGCATCTACAAGCCATCAATTTTTTGATGCTTTTGTATCTACATTTACCTGGTCCTTGAGCTTTACAGCTCAGCGGCAGTCTGTGCTTTCAGGGAGAAATGATACATGCAATAAGTTGGAATTTCTTTTAGTAGAATCTTTGTAATGCTGCTTTGTACGTGAAAAAAGAAAATAAAGCAATAAAATTGGTGTGTGTGGTTTATAGGGTAGAGAGACATGCTTGCTTCTCTCTGTTCATCAGCTTTCATTATCTCTGGAGTGGTTCCCTCTTTCTCACCCTCCATCCCTGGTGTGAGTGTATAATTCGCTGATCAGGGATGCACTAGTCTCATCACACCCATGTGCAGTTGAAGGCATTTTCTCAAACTGCTCATTTTGACACTTTTTCTACAGTGTCGTGTGTGTCTGGGGAAATGCTCAAGACTGGCCTTTTTAGTAAGATGTGGGCACAAGCTTTGGGATATTTATAGAAATATTTAATGGTTGTAAATAGACTGCTAACAGAACACTTGTAAATGTCTTAATGATTTCTGAGCTACACTTAGTGTACTGTACTTTTTTACATGCACAGGAGAACTGTTTTTATCTGTATGTAGTTTATTGATGGATAGTTCAGTTAAATCGGTCCAAATGGCAATTGGTTATCAACCTAAAATGTAAGCGAAGCAGTGATTGTACACTTCCTACAATGCATTGACCTAAAACAATTATGCTGGCATTGCTTCCCTTAACTGGCAAAGATGTTGAACTAATGAACTGTGCTCAGTCAGTGTGTCTCCGTTTCTTTCTTAGTCTGTGGATCTTAATGTACGTTCTTTAGAACCTGCTGGGGAAAATTAGGAAATCATTCTGAACTGATGCTAACCGCTTTTCACCAGTAAGTATTAAACTTCAGCAAATCTTTTTCCTGTTACATTGTAAAACTGATGGGCATCTGAAAGTTTAAATTTAATAAATTGTGCATACTTGTGCGTTCTGTACTTGATGGAAGATAATTTACCTCTTCAAGTCAAGATCTAGCAGAACTTTATGTGGATGTGAATGGGACTTTGGTGATGGGTGAAGTGGAAATCTCGCATAGCTGCTGCTTTTTATTGTTCTAGAATGGAATGAGTGGAGCTCTTCAACTTACACCTGTAATAGGGTGTTGGTTTCAGTTAAGGCAATTGCATTTTTAATCACTGTAATGGAAAAAGGTTTAAGAGACTGAAGTTGAGGAAGAATAAACCTTTTTGGGTGTGCTTTTTGTTCACTCCAAGTACATATAAATCTACATTCTAAAGTGTTATGGTTCTGAAAGCTATTAGTTTTGTGGAATGGCAAAACATAGTGGGGTGGTGGAGGTCAGGGCTCTGGACAATTTGTCATAGAAAATGAGAATTTCTTCCTAATTGACCTGGTTAATTAAAAGAAATCAAGACGCCTGATTCAGAATACTGAGCCCTGCTGGTGAGGTTTTATGAGGGGGTGTGCCATGGTCTAATTCGTTTTTGCTTCATCTGTGCTGGTTTGCGTCATTGAAAGTAGCGTCTGAGGCACATCTGTTCTCAAGATATAGCACCTTCTTTTTGGGGGGAGTCATAACTTTGGTCGCCATTGAAGGGTGGCTGAGTGACATCACACCACAAAGAAATAAGGCTCTATATCTGGGGACTGAAAGCAGTACAAACTACTGTCAGCGGCACAAACCAGCATAGACGAATGTGGTGGGTTCTGTTGTTGGTGCTGTTTGTAAGGGGACCAGCTTCACCTGTTCACTGCTTTAAGGTTCTGGGTTTGATTCTAAACTTGGCCACCTGTGTCTCTGGTGTTCATAATGCTGTTGTGCAGTGGTGTTTTTTCGCTGGGTGTTGCAGTTTCACTCAGACCCGTGCAGGATATGGCTGACTGGTAACTGAACTGTATTGGTCCGTGTTGTGGGGGGGGGGAGTTCAGAGGGATTTCATACTTGGCTGGGTTTTTTCCCCTCCATGACCACAGCATGCTACAACACTACAAATGCAACTCGCTGAGCTCAGTTTTTCGACACATGACCTCTCAGGTTTGTCCCTTTTTCGTGTGGAGATGTATGACACTTTTATTTTGGAGCATTTTTCAAGAAACCGTGTGCCATGCAGTAGTATACACAACACACAGCAGATCAAAAATAAAAAGTACAGAAGATCAATTTCAAGAAAATGTGCAAAAGGTATTCATGTGCTCTTGGTTAGTAAGTTATGAACATGAGCACTGAGCTCTCCATGTATGATGGTGACCCCAAGAAGGTTCACCCAGTTGGTGCAGCCTGGTGTCTGACAGTTTCAGAAAGCCAAAAGCAGCTGATCTGTAAGAAGCACTGTGGGTACCTGTGTAATGGACTCAGGGCAGGCGTTGTCTCCTGACTTTTCTGAGTTAGTGTGCAAGGCACAGAACTCAATACCAGCTGATGCGAATGTTCTTTTCATGGAATGACTGGAAGTCCTAATCATCCAATATCACAACTTCGGCATGAAGCAGGACCCGGATCTTAAGGAGTATTAACCAAGTGGACAAAAGATGCCCATCTGCCATTTACTTCAGATGAAAGACCAGAGTCAGAAGATACTTCCATTAAAGGCAGCAGCACTGAAACTGCCAACTGTCTCTGTATCTGAAGCTGGGAACCTGTGAGCAGAACCTCAGGCTTGTGGAACAGTTTATAAGTGCTGTTGCACCCATCTCTTGGGATGTGACAGATGCCAGTATGAGCTGTACTACAAAGAAGCTCTCTGCCTCTGTTAAATGTGACATGCATTTCTAAGGTTGAGCCCATGGAATAGTATTGCGTGAGGGAAACAAGTATAATGACATGGCTTCCCTGGGAAGTCCGGTTTTCCGAAGAGATATCTAATGCAATTTTAACTCTTACTATACTGGAAAGGAGCTTAGTATGTATGCAAATTCAGTAACTGAACATGAAAGAGGACACTGAACGTTCGTTAAGCTGTGCATGACAGGCCATGCTTACTATCAAGGTTACATGAGGCAATGGAGCGCCCTCTGGTGGCTACTGGCATTTTGAATGGCAATGCTTTTTATCACTGTCCCGTTTGAATGTGCTTTTGATGCTTTCTAGTGCACAGGCCATATGTACACTTAAAAAGTTAGTTGACTTCTGGGAAAAAACGACTCTGGTGAGTGTGTGCGAGTTTGTGTTTGTGTCTGCCTGCCCTGTGCTGGACTGTTGTCCTGTCCACAGTGTACCCTGCCTTGTGCCTGTTGCTTGTCCTGATAGGCTCCAGCTCCCCTGTGACTCTGAATTAGATTCAGCCTTTAGAAAATGGATGGACGGATATATCACACAAAATATGTAGCATGGCTGAGATCTGCTGTTCCGCTGTGACAAATGACAGCTCATTTCATGTCATTCTGTTTGAGATATAGCATACTGTTTTTATTAGTATAATCAGCATTGTGATATACAGCTCAGGAGAAATAGTTCCACAATGTTGTGTTCAGAAACCAGTGTGTACCTAGTGGTAACATCACGCTGAGGAAAAGCTTAATTTAAACTCATTGGTATTTCATTAACAAAAGTGATATGTAAGGTAAAGGAGAACTGCCCATGCTATTTTGCATTGAACAAACAGAAATAGATTTTTTCATCTTTTAGTTGCTTCACATATATATTTATCAACACTTTCTAAAGAATTAAAATATTTAGCCACATGTACTGGAAAAAAAATATCCACTGTTATATAACACAATAAATATAAAAAAACAGAATTTGATATAACTTTATATAGTAGCAAAGAGGGAAATCGACCATTTTAAATAAGACGTTTTTCAAAAGGACTCATGGGTCCCTCTTCTTCCTGAGGATTTTTTTACAGTGTTAGAACTATCCTGCTAGTGAATCCCAGTTTTATATTGGGATTGCAATGGCTTATAATTAAAAATTACATCTGTACATAGGTTTACCTGGGGTGTTACATTAAGACTCAACTTTCTTAACACAAACTGCAACAAAATATTGTCGATATCAGAGTAACAAGAGTTTGCTCAGTACAAAGAGCAGAGTATAGTAAGTACAAAATAAACTGTAAGTGTTGCTTGAGCCTTCATGTAAATCCCATGGGATGTGTCTCCCCAGGTAACAGCTGAGGAGCGGAAACGCCCAGGAAAAAAATTCCCACTTAAATATTTTTTTTAAACTTTGCGTTATGGTCGAGTTTTCCCTCCAAGTACAGGGGAATGGGAGAAAATTAAAACATGGGGAAGGGGGGAGAAATCGCAAAATCTGTACATGTAAACATCACACTTTCACTGAGTCCAAAATTAGGAGGAAAAATACAAAGTTTCACATTGGTATTAGGTACAAATAGAAAAGGAACTGAGCCCATCAGCTCCCAGGACATGAGAACAAACAAGGAAAAACCAAAAAATAAATCTAAAGCACCACCAAATTATAAAAAAGACTATGGTCAGAACCATATTGATTAGACTGTAGCTGTACACTACCCCTTTAGAAAAATAAAAAACAGAGGTAATATTTTGTCATTCTGAAATATACATCTGACCAAAGCAGATGCAATGTATAAGTTAGCAAAAAACCTTACAAGCAAAACCCAGAGTCTCCATATGGATGTTCAGACATCAGTGTTAATTGTATTAATGTTCGTAAGTATTAAACTTGGAATTTACAAATTCAGTTGCTGTAATTCCCCAGGCTCTAAAGATCCAGCTTACAGTCCCATGTCCTGGGGTTGCCCATACCTTACTGATTTTCATTCTGCCTATCCTCTGAATCAAATCAATTTGAAACCTTTTAAACTTTTTCAGTTTAAAAAAATGCAGACCTTGAAAGGAACGTTTGTTCACTTGTGGATTCAGTTGAGCTCAGTGCTCGGCTGGAACGAAAACCCTGTGTGTGTGTGTGTGTTTCCAGGATTAGGAACCCATGGAGATAGATTAGGGTCCCCAATCTGTCCCAATCAAGCTCACACACTAGCGGGCTTTTATTCCAGCTGAGCTTAATTACCTCATTTAAGCCTTACTTAAACTAATAAGTTGTTTAATGGGAATATTTGCCATTTTGTTTCTACTCAAAACTTTGCAATTTTACTTGGCGAACAAAATAGTCAAAAAGGCAACATTCTATATAAGCCAAAAGAGCTGATAACAAAAATTTCAGAATTTATCTTACTATTATTATTATTAATTAAGGGTTCAGGTTTGTAAGCGAGACTCAGCCAGAACGGAAACCAGCAAGTGACCAGGACTGGGAACTCCTGATCTAGACGACTGCTCAAGCATGCCACTTTGGAGACAAAGTTCGTAGCATTTCACATGCATGAGGCTTTAGAAGTAGCACTTTTAGAATCTCCCACCGTCAGCAAGTGACATCAGAGACTATTCACTGAAATTTAAATTTGCTATGAACAAGCATTAAAAAAACAAACCATTAAGCCTCAAAACTGACAACTGTGATACTCAGTTCTTGTCAGTGCATTAGTATTAAAGGAAAATGAATTTAAGGCGTTAATTTCTACCCTTAGGTTGTGCAGTAATTGATGCTGGTAAGGTTGATTGCTAATTGTTCTGTCTTGTTTGGAATGTTTACACTCTCAGAAAAATGTCTTTTGTGACTTTTCATCATTGTAGAAACTTTAAAAAGACCACTTGCACCAAAAAAAGAAAAGCCCATCAACAGCAAGCTAGCTGTGTTTCACTGCCTGTTCACGTAGTACAGTAAGAATGCTTCAGTTATGGCTAAAAATACTTTTGTGGTCTCCAAGACTCACTGTATACAATAGCTGCACACACAAAAAAAAAGGAATGGAAATCAAACAATGAACAAGAAACACCTTTCCAAAGAAGGGGATAAGATTGTCTTTTGCCTAATTTTTTTCTTTTTAAAGTTTCTTTTAAAATTGCTATTAAGGGAAACATAAGAAGCAAACACTAGGGGGAGTTATTTTGCAACAGCCTGTAAACCATATAATCTTCATAGTCCTTCCACAGAAACCTGATGGTCTATATTACATATGCATATCTCTATCTAGCCTACATATTAAAAAAAGCAAGTCATTTTGCCAGAGAGGACATATTTTCTTTCTCCCCGGGAGGTGACATGGATTCAGGATTGAGGTTAAAATTCAGCAGCGCTCATTAAAGAATTTCCAACTGATAGATGCAGCGTTTTCCACATGGAGACAAGCTGGTGCAGCAGGACACTGAGAGGCAGGCTGGTCGCTGTCTTGATTTTTTTTGGACCCTTGTAGAACCTGTTTTGGCACGTGGCTTGAGACTGAGCTAACAAAAAGAAGACAAGCCAGTTGTTGGCATGTGGCTGTTATGAGATGGCATGTGTACGTTTTTCATCCTACCATCCTACGGTTTTCCAGCAAGGAAAGGCCGATCTCAATTCATTTCAGATTGCTGCTTTGTCGGATGAGCACTTACGCTACATCTGACCAACCGAGTCGAAAGGGAAAGGCACAAGCCAGTTAAGAAGGTGATGTGCAGACGGGAAATGTAAGTGGTCCTAATGGCACGGGCGATTCTGACATGAAAGTGCTCTAGACAGATCAGGCTGACTAGATAAAGGTTTGAACTTTAATAGTCAGTTCAGTATGATATGGTTAATGATGCCCCCATTAGCACTGCCCTGTGCTATACTGTTAATAAATTTTGCTTGCTTGTTGTCCAGATGGTGACAGCACTTGCTGGTTTGTACTATTAGCACATGGACTGATAATCTACATAATTCATACAGAATATGAAACCTATATCCATTTTGTTTCATTGCATTGACTGTCTCATGCTGTTTGAATACATCAGGTGGAAAAGCATTGAATGCAAAATAAATTATTGCTTAATCAGGAGGTTAATGGTACGTAGTACACAAGTTGATGAAAACTTAATTTCATATGGGATTTTCTTGGACTGGCCAGGATTTTAAATGAGTTTAGTTTTGTCAGGGCCAGTTTGAACATGCCAGACATGCAGTCCTCTCTTTCAGCTGTGTGTCTGTGGGTTGTGGCAAAGAGCTTAGCTAGCTGTTCCTTCTGCCCAGGAGACAACTCTGAATGCAGATCTACAGAGCCACATCGCTGGAGAACAGCACCGGCACAAAGGTAACACGCATCTAGAAGATCCTTTCCCAAATCAAGGATAACTTTAGTAAATATGAGTCTTGTCAAATGCAAAACAAATTAAGTGAAGTCAAAATCAGTAATGACCACTCATGATGTTGTCTCATCACCTTTCAGTTTTGGCTTGAAAGCAGGTCTCTTACAAACATCCTTCCAGGAACCCTCACAAGCCTAATAAATACAGGAAATCCCTGGCCTTGTCCAAGAACAACACTTGGTTCTCCTCACCCAGCACTGAACTAGACATACTGTTATTTTCTTGAAGGGCCCATTCTTATTTTGTTTTTCACATTAAACTAGAAAATATGGCAAAGATTGAGAAACTGAAAATATTCTTTAAAATGAGGCAAATACGTGAGGGATGATTTTTGCTACTGTGGGGGTCTAACCATGACCTTTGCACAATGAATCAGTTTTTCTCTTGCCGTAGCAAGTACACCTGCATTGCCAATAAAGAAACCACGCCCATTTCCAAGTCATTTGATCCAGTAAAATACAGAGACTCACACAGCAGTGCAATTCCCACACAGAACACTTTTTTTCTGGCTGTGATTGAGCCTGGGCGCTTCCATAGCATGACAGTTAAAATCAACTTAAACACCTGCTCCTCTCTCCTGAGCTCAGCTCTAGTACTGAGCATCTTTCCTTCTTCAACGGCAACTTCCACAAATGGCTTTTGAGTCAAAGACTTTTCCCCAACGAAAGCTTCTGCGATATTTATAGGCAGCCTCACGCTATTTAACACTACAGTCTCCCATTCTGTAAGCAATCGGATATAGTTTGATTATCATCTGCATTATCTCAATACAATAACTTTCACCAGTGCAAAAATCAGCCTTGAAGCAGGCTCTGGTACTGAGAACAGGTTTTATACATAAAATCTTCAACAACAGCACAGGCTTGCTTTGTCAAATGTGCAAAAGGGAATATAATACAGTGACATAAAAGAGCACAGATGTGTTGCCTTTTGTTGCGACCCCTGTTTTTTTGTCTTCAGTGGCACTAGTTTACACCCACTGATTCGTGCCGAGGTCCGGTTTCACACGGGGGGAGCTGTACTGCGCCGGGAGGGGAAGCAGCCGGAGACTGTAGCCGTGCCGGGGAAAACAACACGAGCCGGCGCGGGGCAGCGAGCGGAGAGCAGCCCGTAACCCAGTATGGCACGGTCCAGTAGTGCACCTACGCAAAGTGAACGGATCGAAGGTGTTTAACGATGGCAAACGGTTTGGGTGTTGCAGCTGTTAAAGGAGTCCCGAGAGCAGCCCTGAGTCCCCGGATGCCCATCGGCACTCTGTCGCTGAGAGTCTCTAGGCTCTTCGTCCCTGTGCATTCAGATGCTTGACATTCGGCTGCAAGTTCCCCCCAAAAAAATCACGAATCTCAAAAACAAACAAACAAACAAACAAACAAACAAACAAAAGGAGCGATAACCACAGTGCAGAGCAGTGAAAGATGTCAGGAGGGATTTTGTTTTTGCGAAGACAGAAGAGCATTGTTGCTGAGGTCCTCTCGTTGTGCAGGAGGCTGTAGTCTTGGGTTGAGGTTACAGGTCTGTGGCAAACATCAGGTCCATAGCAGCAAAATGGATTAATGGCCATCTTAGAACAAGACAAGAAATTCTTCCCCAAATGTCCAGAATATAACCCATCTTGTGCAACAACAAGATGGGCGTTCGGGATGAAACTGCAGCCCCTCGAAGTTGCACATATGTGTTTGTGTGTCTGTGTGTCTATATTGTCTTCCAAACACTCTACAGGTGGCACTGCGAGTCGTGAGCCACTCAGGGGTGAGAACGCCCTTTGCACAGAGTTTAGAAGACCAGGGTTCAGCTGTACCAGTCAGACTGGTCTGAAATGGGAAACCAAGCTGTCAGGCAGGAGATACCACAAATATACCTCAGTCACCTGCTGAAACTTCCATCCTGAGCAGGTACATAGTTTTAGATCAATTCCTAAATCATAATGTTCTGTTTTAGAACCTGTTCCATCCAGTCCTTTTGTTTAATCTTAATGGAAATTAAAGGATGTGTAATTGCAGAGAATACATGTACAAAAGAAATTTCCTTTTTTTTCTCAAATTTGCCGAAAGCAGTGAATACATACACAGTGACGATATGTAAAACTGCTTTGGTAAAATCCCAATTTTTAAGATCTATTGTACTGATTATCAAATCAAACAGTTTGGTGTTACTGGAACCCTTAAGAAGGTGGGCTGTTTATTCTTTTGTTTTTCTGTTCTGAGTCAACAGAAAACTGGTATATGAGCGAATATATATCTGAGGTATTTCCATGTGATAAAATGGTGTTCCATATGCATAAGTTTTGTAACTCCTTAAATGAAGTCTTTATTACTTGGTGGGGAATGTGAGGTCTGAGTAAGGGGAAAGTGCTTAAAAATACACAGAGCGCATATTTACAGCTTGTTGCAAGTTTTTTTTCTCTCTTTGTCCTTTCTTTTTGCCTCTATCCAAAGTTTCTTAAACGTTTAGTGCTATCTTTAAGATAGGTCACACCTTTCGTAGCTTAGGGAAAAACTGCTAAACTGGCATTGAAAATGTTTTTTTTTTTCTTGAAATAAAGTTTAGTTGATGTTAGAAAGGTCTGTCTTTGGGGTATTTGGTTAAACTTCAAAAGGGTTTATTCAATCTCGCTTCCAGTGGGGTAACACACTGTGGTCTCTGTAGCACCAAAAGACCCCCAAAGACACCAAAAAGAAGCTAACGACTGCTGAGAAGCGCCCCTTCTGGTAAATAATGAGCCATCAGGCAAAAAATACCAGCATCCGTTTCAAATGAAAGTGAACCAGTCAGCAAGCACAGCTACTGTCCCTCAGAGAGCTTGTGTTTAGAAATGCTCCATAGGTAGATATATCTCAGCTCGTGGGAGAGAAATGGGAAGAAAGGATCCATCCTCTCGCAGACAGGGCAACTTCCTCTTTCAGAGGGCTGCGAGTGGCCCTGGAGGTGATTTCAGCCATGGTGCTCTCTTTCTCTCTCCGCTGGAGCCTCCCTGGACAGGCAGGGAGGGGTCCCACACCTGGGCCACAGAAAGAAAGAGGAGGCACATCGACCAGAGGAGTTTTGGGGGGGTCTGGGATGGGGGCTCGGGGAGAGCTGTGTGTTTGTGTGTGTATGTGTGTGTGTGTGTGGGGGGGGGGCTAGGTCCAGTATAAACTCAATCCTGGGCCTTTCCCTCAGGGAGAGATGGGGCCGGAGAGGTTCAATTCTGCTGTAAAATGAGGTTTTCCAGTTCGTCGGCGGAGCGCAGCAGGAAGGCGGCAGATTCCCGGTACCCCGCGATCAGCTGCCGCACTGCGTTGATCTCCGTGGGGCTGAGCTGGGCCGAGGGGACGCCCCGACTGTTTGTGCTGGACGAGGATGAGTTTGACGCCAAGGACTTCATGCTGAGGTCAGTGGGACCTAGACAATGGGGAAAAAACCACCGCGTCAGCACACTGTAACGGGGAGCCCAGTGGAAGAATGCAACTTCTGCAGACAACAGGACGAGGGGGCAGTTATTTCCAGTTCTGTAAAGTAGATAGACAAGAGACTAGCCTGGCAGAAGCCGGGTGAAAGCTGTGTAAGTGGTATCTGATCAAGATTAAAATAAGGTAGGGGCCCTTACCGTTGCTCTGAGGAGTGCCCGTTGTTAGGGAGACTGGGTGTTGCAGGCTGGCTCCCAGACCCCCGTAACCACGGTAACTGTAGTTGAGGCCGCCGTTGATGTAGATCTGGTCCTGCGAGTAGGCTGAGGCAGCCAGCGAGTAGGCGGAGGGCGCAAGAGTGGCGGGCTCCCGGGCGCTCTGCTTTTCTAGTGCAATCTGTTCATCCTGCAGAGAGGGACAGGGTTATCATCAATCGCCCCCCCACAGCCCTGACAGCTAACTGTCTTCACAGCACATAGCTCCACAGATCAGCGGGAACACGCCTCTTCAGATGTTACATTTACATGGCAGGGGCCTCCAAATGGTCCTCGTGCACCTGTTCTAGAAGGTGCACGCACGTATGACCGTACAAGGAAGCGGAGCACCAACACCGCACCGATAAAAGGAACAGGAGCCTGCGCGTCAAAAGAAAATAAGCCTCCGGGTTTCGGGGTTCCTGCGCTCGAGAGCGCCTCGTGACCCGCCCGTGTTTCTGCACTCACGTGTGCCTGGTACACATCCAGCCGCATCCTCTTGGCAGCCTTGCGGGTCTCGCTCTCGCAGGCCGCAGCCAGGATGTTCTCGGCCATCGCTGAGGTCAGGTGTGGGGGGGTGGGCCGCGTCTGGAACGGGACCGAAGATCTGTGGTTAGCCAGTTTCTCACATGAGGGCCGTCCGGCACCTCTCTCTGCCAGGGGACCTCAACCACACGGGGCCCCTGGCACACCGTCTCTGAGCCCCGTAAGATAACTTCCTCTCCAACTTTTATTTAACGGTTCCGAGAAATTGAGTGAGAAATGAGTTACGGGCATCTAGACTTCTTTTTGACCCTAAAGGCCCAGAGAGAGACAGATTTCAAATGAACAGTTCTGGCATGCTGGTTTTACATCTTCAAGGCCCTTTAAGTTTAATGGTACTGGTAGTACTGGCTATATAAATGGAAACTGAAAAGGTAAAATGCACCTTTAAAGTAAAAACATGTGGTGGTAAAGATACCACCGTATAGGAATTACACAATAATCTGTCCTCTGGCTTCATTTCCACATTCCACTTCAGTCTCCCATCTGTTCCAGGAGGGGGAAAAACGAGTCACCAGCTCACCCCCTTTGTCAAAAGGGCTATTATTGAGGCCTGCTCCTTAAAATGAAATTGACCACGATCCAGCTACACCCCACAAGAAATATTAGAACTTGAAATTATTAAATGTTAAATTTGAGCGCGAAACGATGCAGGTTTAACATAGTAACAATTATCCGCAATTAGTTCAGAAAATGACATTTTTATTTAGGCATGGATGAAAAGTGCTTTCTAAATGTGAGGAATTATTATAAATTAAAAATGTTATTATAGAGCCGTTAGCATATTTAGAACTAATTCTTTATAAAATTTCCTCATTTTAGGAGCTAATGCTCATGACATTTTGCTTTAATTGAACAGATAAATAAGATAACAGCCAGGAACACTGCAGCTGAAACTTTTTTTTACATAGACCATCTTTTCACATTTTCAGGGTGTCCTCAGGGCACTGTGCTGCAGGGCTGGTGTAAGAGGAAGAGACCGTCACGCCTTACCTCCATGCCATTCTTCTTCATCCTCCGGCACGACTTGAGGTATGTGCGGATGCGTTTGCGGGCGCGCTCCTGGAATTCGGGGAACTGCCGGCTGCAGGACTCGATGATGGCCTGGATCTTCTCTTTCGGCTGCTTGGAGATGGGCACCATCCGGTCCAGGTTTTCATCCACAAAGAGACGCACAAACATCTGAGAGCATGGGACAAGCAGAGCTGCCGTTACTGAGTGAGCGCCCAGCAGCAGAGAGAGGCAGCGGCGGACAGAGACGCAGGTCACGTGCCGCCACAGGAGGGCACAATGAGCAGACATCTTAACAGCATTGTAGAGACAGGCTTGGGCTGAGCTAATGATGTATGCATGGGACTTTATTTCCACAGTAATGGAGTGATGTACCGCAGCTATTAAACTATGTCAAGTGCAAGGTCTAATGTTAAAAGACAATTACATCTTATGCCTGTTAAAGACAAAGCAAGGACAGTAGCAAAGGGAAAGTGCTGTCAACACACACCTCTTAAAGACAGCTTTTGGGGAGCAGAATGACTCAGAACAGGAGAAAATATAAAAACTGCTCCACTCCAGCGCACACCAAGGTTAGTTCCTTAAACCCAAACAATTCGCAACAGGAGCCTGCATGATCCTCACGGTATTCCGATTGGCCTGTGCCCGACTTCCAAGGCAATGCCGAGGCGCAGCCCGCAGGGGACGAGGCCGCGAGGGGTCTTACGTTGAAAGCCTTTAGCCGCTCGGGGTCCATCCCCTCCGAGTCGTTGATCTTGTCGCTGTCCTCGTGGTCGTCATGATCATCGTCGTCGTCGTCCGCGGTGTGTGCTCGGCTCATCGACAGGTCCTCCGGACACACGCTCACCTCCGTCTTCCCCGAGTCGTAACTCCCTGAGCTGTACTGAGGAGACTGCCCACGGGGAGCGAGACAGTGAGAGACAGCTTTCTCCACAACGGCAAAAGAAGTCATTTAAATTGTACAGCCAGGTTTCCATGGAGCCCCCGATAGGCTGTAGAGGAGGCAAGAGATTTCCAAGGACATGACTTATTGTCGGTGGCTTGTTCAATATCCACAAATTGAAAGGCGACTTTTTTGTATCAAAATGCTCTTACTATTCTTACCTTCCTTTTAAAAACTCGTATAGAGCTATAACATTTCCAATCCATCATGAAATACGGGGAGCAGCTCAGCCACAAGGACAGAATATTCTTTTGAAAGCCAGCTCCTTTTTGTTTCAGTGTAAATCAAGAGTGACAGATCTTTCATCTTTTGAAACCCCTCAGATATTTTTTTTTTCATGGTTTTCTGCGTGGACACGAGAGTCCGTAATTGGATTTAGTGGAAACACGTAAGTCTAGACAACTTGTTTCCTATAGAAATAATCCAGAAAAACACACTTTTGTCTGCTATTTCTGGATGAAAATTTAAAAATAAAATGTTGAATAATGTTGACCAGCATATAGTTAGCAGTAATGCCTCGAGTAACCAATTCAAGAGATATCTTTAGTATTCTGATGGCCGGTAACGCAAAGAAAAATATTATTAAACCAAATCTTTCACACAGTTAATTAAATGAAAACCTGTAATTAAAATAATAACAGAAAATCTGTTTCAGTATTTTACTGAAAGAGGTAGGAGCACCTTGTACCATAACATGAAAGAGGCACGACTTTTTGTCAGAAGCATTTTATACCCTGGAAAATCAGCAGGGGGAGACAGGGTGGGCAGCGGCAGCTCTCCTTGAAATTTTGTGCAGTGAGCAATTTAAAAAAGGCCCTTGTTTACTGAAGGTGGATCTCTCTGGCTCGCCACTGTAGAAAGCAGAGGAACAGACATGCCTCCCAGCTGTGCTCCAACACAAGAGGCTCCATCACAATGTTCTGGTGCATTGTGGGGGTTTTCTTTTTGTCAGTTTGATACATATTGTGGTGACAAAGGGGCAACAAATATAAAGGGGAATGAGCTGTCAAACCCATAATATACTTCATTGTTAAATAGAAAATAACCCTTTTTTTTCTTTACTCATCCAATAATACCAAGGTTGCGTGAAATGCATTCCTTCTCATTTAATCAGCTATTTTCTGTTTGCTAGGCATTTCACAATAGTGCCATGGACACACAAAAAATTCCCTGTTGCTGGAGATTATACAGAGAAAACGTTTGTTTCAAACCCCTCTTAAATGTGCCTCATTTGAAAGATTTTTCGCAGCACCAAAGGCAGACCTGAGGAGAAGAGATGAGCCAGGGTAAAGTTTTAAGCAAAAAAAAAAACCATGCTGGGCAAGAATTAGGCTGCATCTCCATCCCGCACGACTGTGGATTGACTATGTGCCTCTCACAGGCCTTTTCAGTCTCTCACAATTCAGTGGTTACATGATGGCCTGTCAGCAAATCCCTGATCGAGACATTTAAGACCGGGAGGAATTATTACCAATAATGTGGTCGTACATTATGTTGTACCTTCCGCACTAAAAAGGAGGACCTGACCTTTGTGATCGCGGTCTCTGAGCGTACTCCCGGAGCTGGGGCGGTCTCCAGGCGGCTGTGCCTCTCTCACGCTGGTACTGCTTTGACCTTCGCAGTCAAACATTAACTTCCCTGAGATGCGGTTTTTCCACACCCCAGCTCCCACCCTGGACCTGGGAAATGTTGACATTTCCCACTTCAGCACGAGAGGAAACCAAGCAGGGGCTGTGTGGCTTTCAGCAAAGGTTTGTCACAAGGGACACCCAGGTTTACATCCAAAGAAACACCATCATGTTCTATTATTTCGCTTTGTTTCGCAAAATGGCTGTTGGATATGCCGATTGGTTAGCACACGCTGTGTGAGTCCGATCTCGATTTGACCAAGAGCATCACCAACTGAAAGGTACTGCGTGTGTTGCAGTTTCCTCTTGTACTATGGAGACCAGTGAAGGGAGAGCACTAGGACCCAGTTAGATCCTATAAAGACAGCAGGCTGTTAGTTTGGCAAGGTAGGGAAGAGATTTCTGTGTCTTAATTAGCCGTGCTAATTATCTTCAGAAAAGGTCCTGTGCAACCATGCTAATGAGTTAAACCATAAATGAGTAAAATAAAACACGCAACCTGCTGTCTCTGCTGTGCAAGACCTCACGGGGAATTTCTGTGCTACGTTCAGACAAACGCATTGCGACTGGAGGCGCACAACCAAGGCAAAAGTCAACCCCGGGATAAAGGCAGGGCTGCTGCACGGCGTTGGGGCTGTTTGTGTCTACCTTGTTGCCGTAGTCCAGCCGGAGCTCTGCGGGCGCGGCTTTGCCGGCGTACTTGCTGCGGCCCCGCAAGCCGTCGGGCGCGTCCGGCTGGAAGGGACAGAGGAGCGGTCCCGGCGGGAGCCGCTCGCTCAGGTTGACGGGCTGGTCCTCGGAGGAGGAGGAGGAGGAGGTGGTGCTGAAGTCCAGCGGCGCCGGCGCGCCGTTGCCGTTCACCTCGTTGTAAGAGGCGCTGTCGGCGGCGCTGCCCGGGACCGGCGGGTTGAGGGTCGGTAGGCCGTTCCCACTGCCGCTCTCAGAGGAGGAGTCGTCTGAAACACACCGGGCACCACGGTCAACGGGACACGCAGAACAGGACGGGCATCCGGAATAGGAGCATAAAAAAAGATGCCAAGTACAAATAAAAACCGATCCCTTGCAACTTTTCAATATGCAACATGCATACAGTAACAGAAGGTCAAGACCGTACAATAATCATGCCTGACATTTAACAGATGGCTCACAGTGTTGCAATAAAGAGTCGAGGGGTGGTGGTGGGGGGGTTTGCTTAAAAGACATGAGGCTACTTCTGAGCAGGCCACTCTCAGAACTCACGGATTCCCAATGTATGTCAAAGGCTCCTCCACTTTCATCCAATCTGATTATAAAATCGCTGCCCTCCCCCTCCACCGACACCTCCGTCTTGCAAACACGCACAGTTTGCTCAGTCGTGCCTGTGGGAGTGCAGGTGCTCCTTTTGTTAGCCTGGTTTTCTTCTGTTGTGTGGGAGCAGAAAGGTGACCGAGATGCATTAGTTATGAGCCTGCAGGGAAAAGAAGCCAGTTTTCCTTCCACCAGGGATCGCTAAAAGCCCTGCCCCTTAGTCCTCTCTACATTGGCATAAGCTATGGAAAAAGAAGTAATACTTTATGGCATACCATAATACCAGGCCTGAATACTTTTTAAAAAAATCATATGATTTTGTTTTTAGACCAAATCAGCGCACAAAGTAAGGCATAGGAAGAGCTTGTTGGGCTGAGGGAGATTCACAGAGAAAGTCATGCAGAAGAGCATGAGTACAGTACAAACTGTAAGATGCCGGATACAATGGGCAGACTGGGAGGAAGAAGACACGCCATTATGTAGCAAAAGGCCAGGATGTCTGTGAGGTGCAGTCAAAAATCCAAAAATCTGACATCATGCTTGCACAACATTGTACCTGACCAAACGAGCCAAACTAGACTAAACATTGTGAATGGCAACAAAGAAAATCTGTGCTTTCTCGCACTTGACAAAAGACCTGGGTATCAACCTTAGACAGGCAGATTAGACTGAAACAACAGTGCAGAATCAAGTGCTTCTGAGTGGTCTGTCACCAATAGGTAGTTCCCTATTGCTGATATGCAATGCTTTGTTCTCAGGCAGGGGTGTGAAAACCTTCACGTATACGTCTGTAAATCAGTTATGGATGCAGCTAGCCTGTATAGCCATAAAAAAAGCCTGTTTCAGAGGCAAGAAAAAAGGTTAAAAAAAAAGAAAATGTTTGCAAGAAAGTATGCTGGTTTAGCAGATGGACTAAAATAACATTTGTTTTGAGATGCTTATGAAAACGGCTTTAAAATATTTCAATATTGTTCTTGCTTTCCTGCTGTGCCTCAGGGTGCTGTATGTTTTACTTTCAGAGTAAATAAATCTGTACAATGGGGAAAAGGATGACAAAAATGAGACTCCAATCATCAGACAGCAAAAGCTAAACTACTTCAAAGAGTTCACTGAACTGTTAAAAGATTTACGCTGTGAGAGCTGGCCTTCTGCAGGAGCTGTTGCTCTGCATTAGTTTATTAAGTGGATACATTTTGGAGGAAATCCAGCTGTCAGCAATGGGATGTGGTGCCTGCTGTACTGATTACTGTATCCAAGTGAGAGACCAGGTAAATACCTGCTCTCAATCGTACACAGCTTCACGAAATAAGCCTCAGGAAATAAGTAAAACAAAAGAGAAATAAGTGTTCAACCTGTCAAGGATGAGAAATTACATAACACTTATAATTGTCTAGATCTTATCTAAAAGATGCAAAGTATAACTTAGTCACAAATTTTAAGGACCTGTTTTACAATCTGTGGATTTCACAATGCTTAAATACCATATTGCAAGGACTGGCCCTGGGAGACCAGTGTCCCTTCTAGTTTTTCTTCCAGTCAGGTTCTTAATCACAGGCTAATTGGTTTTAATTTTCTATTTGGGGCAGATTAGTCAATTTAAATCATAAATTAAAATCTCAGTGATTTAAAGCTCTTAAATCACTGAATGGGAGTTGTAATTGCTATCAATTCTATACCAGGTTCCTGAGTTTCAAACTCCCCTCATTCAGAGTTTAACCTTAAATAGAATCAAATGGATTTCTGATCACATTTCAAAGACATGATGGGAGTGACTGACAGACGGTCTTTCCCAAGGGTAAGTTCATCAGAACATGATCACCTATGAATAATTGTTTAGTTAGAGATATGGGTAAGTACGATATGGAGAGGTTGCTTAAAGTTTTGCATGCTGAAGTTGTTGCAAACAATACACTTGAATTTGGGTATTTGTAAAACTCGGGCTTGAATGAAAGTACAAATAAACTACAAGCCAAAGCAAGCAGATGAATTAACGACATACTGAAAGGTAACACTGGTGATCCAGAGGTCATTCAGAATGAAAACCAGCATACACCCCAGAGGCAGGACTGGGATCCAGTGCTAAACTGTAGAGTTTTAGAAAAACACTGATGGTGGCCCCATAGGGTCTAGGAAATGCCGGTGCCCCTAAGAATGAATCATCCTTCATCGTGGAGCTTGCAGGCTCACACATTCGCCTCCATGCATTAAGTTTTCTCGTCAAGGAGCTCAAGCCTTTTCAGAGTAGCCTTGACAAAGCTGAGCTCAGAGAAAAGCCAGCTAGGCAAATTTTCACCACCACCACTCCTCCCTCGATCTCACCTAGAGACTAATGGATCTGCTCTCTTCACCATCCATCAATATGTGGCGCGTACCTCAACTTAAAGAGAGGCAGCTACTAAATAAGTGATCACTTACTCCATTGCTTTGCCGTATACAGCTGTTGATGGATGGTAGTGTTCTTCTTCCTTGGTCTGTCCCTCCCCCCAGCTCCCCCCTCGCCACACATGGACCAGTGAATAGTGAACAGAACTCAATGTGTATGTTGTACTTTCAGCTCAGTGGCTGCTTGTCACTTGGTAGAGAGCTGCGAGAACACGTTTTCAATTATCTTGCTTTCTTTATACTGTACATGGGCTGTAACCGGACGACAGAATCACTGATTTTATTTATAAGGGTAAGTGCCAACTGTGCACACTTACATCCTTTTCCTGGCTTCATAACAATAAGAGAATTCCTGAAATATGAAGACAATGGGGACTCTTGCATGTGGTCTTTAAGCATGCAGTGTATTAGTACATAATATCAAAGGCACAACTCTGTGTTTTCAAGGCATTTTGTCTTGCTGATTCTAGTCTGTTCTGACTAAAGATGTCTTATTAGGAGCAACAATGCGATAATTTAATATTTTCTTTTCCTTCTGCTTACTTTCAAATTAATTGCAGGTTCCTCTGTAAAAAAATCTATGCACAAAAGCTGCCATGGTTCTTGAAGAAAATACAAAAAAGCAACTTAATTGAGACACCTAGGTGGAGTTAACAACATTCCTACTTAATTAGACATTCTCCTAAAGCACAGTGAAGTTAACACAAAAAATTAATTACCAAAGCAAATAAAGTGCACAGAAACACACAGCAACAAGTATTTGATGCCAAAAAACGTAATTAAGCCCTACTTTATTGCTATAATTCTGTTTACTGAACATACAGAACAGCTGAAATATTTAAATTAAAGTCTAAAGCTGTTTATTCTGAACACAATAATCATAAAGGGGATTGCGAGTTGAAATAAAAAAAACTATTACTGATCCTTCTGGAAGTTTGCAATTGCTCTCTTTCATCTGCTGTCTCTCCACACACATGATGTGAGGTTCTGTATTTCTTTACGCTCTCTGCAAGTGATGTTTGGCTTGTCCATTGACATATTTTCTACTCGACATGCAGCCCTCTAAAAATTTTAATCCAGCTGCTATTCAGTTTTTCAGCATACAAGCAAGTAAAACAAGCCCACTGATATTTACCTATCAAACTTTGGGTTTCTATCAAACCTACTACAAACTGAAGCTCGTGCATTTTTAATAAAGCAAAACTGGTCTCAGCCAAAGCATTGCCTTAAAACGGTCATTAGATTAGATTAGGCAAATCCCATTTAGCTAGCAACTCTATCATTCTCTGAAACCATGGTCTCATTCATGTACTGTAGCTTCATTTTACCAGTTATCTGATTAAAACAGGAACTAAGAGAATTATTCTCTTGCCCTTAGCAGAGCCAAACTGGGGAGAATCGGATCACTAAAAATCTTTGATCCGATTTCCCCCTGTGAAAGGCAGTCACAGTTTTGGCACCAGAAAAGAACTGGGAATGCAATGTGCGAAAGAGTTGGTGAATTCAGGGACCGTTCAATCTTTCCTTTGTAATGGGTTTATTATACGTGCAGCTGTTGATGTGTTTTTAAAGATTACTCTTAAAATCACAGGACCAGCTCAACACCCGATTAAAATACATCCACAGTGGACAGAACCAGCTTAAACCCTGTGCAGACCAGATGACTATCATATTGCTCTATCGCAGAATCTGTTTTGTATAAATATGAATTTACACACAAATATTATCTAAATTGTACCTCTCTGTGTAAATGTGTAAAATGTAATATTTAAAACAAATATTTAATATAGGATTTTGTAATCTAGTATCAAACATATGAACATTTAAACTCTCCAGGAAAAAACATCCTGCCAGCCAGGGTTGGATAGCATAGTCAAAGGGTTAATCTAGAGGGATTCAAAAACATGAGGGCCGTGGGGGCAGTCCTGGAAAGAGTCAGGAACTGCACCAGCACACAGGACGCAGGATCACTCTGTTTGCCAGGGAGCCAGCCGCGTCTCCCATGCCTGGACTGCTGCAGCAGAGGAAGCTCGTCTTCGTGCCAGTGAGGAAGCCAGGCAGAGCGTGGGTCACAGAGCCAGCCGCCCATCCGAGGGCAGCGGCGTATTTATTAGAGTATAAAAAGTATTCATGCGCACACAGTAAAGCCAGCCTAATTCCTGCCAGCTTCTACACTAATCCCCCTCAGGAAGCCCACACTGGTCTACAGGGGATCAGCGGCTAACCCCACAAGAATTCCTTAAAGGTGCAGCAGCCAGTTTTTCTCACATGATCAGTAGCCCCTGTG